CTCAGTGAAGTTGGGTTTCTTCTTGGAAAGGCCAGGCTGGCTCCAAAACCAGACATCACAATTCCAAGACTGGAACTTTGTGCTGCTGTGCTGGCTGTAGAAGTGGCGGAAATGGTCCAGCAGGAGCTTCACACTACTATCGATGAGGTGAACTTCTACACCAACTCGAAGGTGGTCCTTGGATATATTTTCAATGAAAAAAGACGCTTTTATGTGTATGTGCATAACCGTGTGGAGCGCATTAGGCGTTCTACCCAGACCCACCAATGGCATTACGTACCCACACAGCTAAACCCAGCTGACCATGCCACACGAGCACTGCCCGCTGAGCATCTGTCTCACTCTACATGGCTTAGCGGACCTGCCTTCCTTAAGAATTCAGGCCAACGACAAATACAGAAAGAACCTTTTGACCTTGTTTGCCCTGAAAATGACACCGAGCTGCGCCCAGATATCGTATCCTGTGCCACCTTTCTGTCAAAAAAAGAGCTCGGGACCACAAGGTTCGAGAGATTCTCAAATTGGAGTCATCTGCTGAAAACTATTGCCAGACTGCTGCACATTGCCAAGTCCTTTAAAGGCGAAACAGAGAGTGCATGTCGTGGATGGCACAAGTGCAACAGCTATGCTACAGAAGAACAGCTTCAGCAAGCCAAGGTTACTATCATTCGTGCAGTTCAAAAAGAGGTGTATGCGGATGACATCAAGTGCTTGGAGCAGAGTGAGTCCATTCCCACACAAAGTCCACTTAGCAAGCTGATTCCTTACATAGACGCCGATGCAGTTCTTAGGGTCGGCGGCCGGCTGGCAAGAGCTCAACTGTCAACAGATGAGACACACCCCATGCTCATTCCCAGTAAACACCACATAACCCAGCTCATAATCAGACACTTTCACGCACAAGTATGTCATCAGGGCAGACACTTCACCGAAGGTGCAATCAGAGCTGCAGGTTTTTGGATTGTGGGTGGGAAAAGAGCCGTCAGTAGTGTCATCTTCAACTGTGTCATATGCCACAGATTAAGGGGCAAGCAACAACAGCAGATCATGTCAGATCTACCAGAAGACAGAATGTGTACAGACCCTCCTTTCACGTGTGTGGGCCTAGATGTTTTTGGTCCGTGGCCTGTTACAGTCAGAAAGACACGAGGAGGTCAAGCAGAGGCCAAGAGATGGGCAGTGATCTTTACGTGTATGAGCACTCGTGCCATACATATCGAAGTGATAGAAGCAATGGACACTTCATCTTTCATTAATACTCTGCGCCGTTTCGTTGCCATGCAAGGTGCTGTGAAACTACTCAGATCCGACTGCAGCACAAACTTTGTGAGTGCTTGCAGAGAACTCCAAATCGACAAGAAGGGTTGTCATAATGACAAAATCAACACGTATCTTGGAGACAGAAGCTGTGAGTGGCAATTTAACCCTCCACATGCATCGCACATGGCTGGATCTTGGGAGCGCATGATTGGCGGAAGTCGGCGGATCCTTGACGTAATGCTGCTACAGCACGGAAATGCAAAGCTCACACATGAGGTGTTAGTGACATTCATGGCAGAGGTCACTGCAATAGTCAACTCAAGGCCACTTACCACAGTTTCTGCTGACTCAGAGCATCCTGAGATTCTCACTCCTGCCATGCTACTCACACAAAAGGTCGGTGCGCCCCCAGTACCACCAGGTCAGTTCCACGATCAGGACCTGTTTAGAGCGCAATGGAGACGTGTACAGTACCTAGCCAACGTCTTCTGGGGACGATGGAGGAGAGAGTACCTCAGCGGACTACAGGGTCGTCGCAAGTGGAGGGCATCAAAGCCCAATCTACAAATTGGAGATGTGGTCCTGCTCAAAGAAGGACAAGAAAACAGGATTGACTGGCTACTAGGGCTAGTCACAAAGACCTTCCCCAGTCAAGATGGCAGAGTAAGGAAGATCGAAGTCAAGATCATCTGCAGTGGTGAATGTAGAGTGTACCTGAGACCCATCAGTGAAGTCGTCTTACTGGTACCTAAGAGCTAAGCCTGGTACCTAAGAGCTAAGCCTGAAAGACTCTTAATATCCTTTGTAATAGTGGGATTCAGCTTTAGTTGGTGTCAGGCGGGGAGTATTCTGTCCCAGCTCTCTGCATAAGCTGGATAGAGACGTTCAGCTGAGGGCAGAAGAGTGCTAATGATTGTAAATTATTTCCTTTACACTAATTTCATTATGATTCTCAATTTCAATTATGATTATTTTTTCCTTTTTTCCTACATTTGGAATGATTTTCACATTTTGTTTTCGTCTGTCCTGTGGGTGGAGGAAAGTTCAATTATAATCTCTAGGGGGATAAAAAAAATGGTAGGTACATTCAATGATTCTTACCCAGTAGAAATGTGAGGGTTCTTTTGACCATTTGCACATTCATTCGGCTTAAAATCACCCTCTATTGCACAATATCCACAGTATTGTTTTCCTCCACAGGGTTCATTTAATTCCTCCAGAGGTCCCTCTACTTCCATTCCCGACCTCTATGTGAGCTGATCGGTATAACCATGAGGTCCTAGTGGGCACATGGTGTTTTCATATTTACCGGCCTGGAGTCTTGAACAGAATAGTGAACCCATCTTTCAGGGGGTACTGACCACAACCACTTTACCAAGTCCGTTATCAAGACTAGTTTGTTTCTTCACATCTCTACTGGTGTCAACCATCTTTCAGCCAAGGATGGTGTTCAGTCACTTCCTAAGAGGACAATCCTACGCTCCTGGAGACTGTTCGCTACCAGCACAGAGTTCAACATGTCATTCATGTTAACACGCATCTTCATGTCGCTGCTGGTGTCAAACATATTTTTTTTTATCAAATTTGTAAAATTGTAAAAACAATTTATTAGTCTTGCCTTCTCCGAGTTGTCTTCGGAATGTTTTAGGCGCTTTTGATAGAACAAGACAACTTTTAACAAAAGCAAAAATGACACTTTTTCAGTTTTGCTTCCTCAGAAACCCATTTTTATTAATTATTCAGATGCAGAGTTAATGCCACAGGTGTTGTATTGCCAGTCTGTAAGAGTCCCTGAGTCAGAATTAACTCGATTCAGTGACTGTGCAATATCGCACATCATGCAAAAAGTAACTGACTACAGTAAGAAACAATGATTAATTACAAATTGTGAAAAATGCTTTGTAAGCATCCACTGTGAGTACAGCGTTCCATCTGTGGTTTAATTAGAACTGAGGCATCGCTGATGCTATTTACAGCTCCAGAGTGTTGAGTGTGACCTTTGCAGATAATTTGGTAAACTGCACCCAGGACAGCTGGGTTTAAATCTTCATCTGCTGTAGCATTTTCTTCACAGTTTAGTAAGATAAACTTGTGGTGCATCTATACCTTTTCTAAAGCTGAGCATCTCATAGTCATCATTTACATTATGTACATATTTATACAGACTCGATATCCCGTCACATCTTGGACATCCGATTGTTAATGTGTCATTCAAAAGGTCTAAAGAGCAGCCAAATACATCTCTACAATATCTAAAGGTGAGCATGACATTCATCATTTGTGTTATATACATATGTTCAGTTTACACAGTCCTCACATTATGTCACACTTGTGTGACTTAATACTGCATGTCAAATGAAAATTGTGGATGTGTTATGATGAACTACGGTGGATGGATGCCTGTGTGAAAGTTCTTATGGAGAAGTGATGGAAGGTGGAAATGGTTAAATCAGATCCCTGTGTTGACTCTAGTGGACCCCTTCCATCGTCCATGGTGTCAAAACTGAGTTCCTTTCACCTGAAGTGCTGCATGCACAGAGAAACTCACACAAATCCAAATAAGTCAAAGGAGTAGGAGTTGCTTTGTGATTAAATCCTTTAATATTCTCAAGTGTTTAAAATTGAAGAAAACATAAAAACAGCTGTAGAAAACAAAACAAAAGCTGAGGCGAGAGGTTCCACTAACTGGATTATCTTTAAGATTTCAGAAAATCGTGCAGCTAATCTAGTGTTGTAAATTTTAACGTCACATTTGATCGTATTTAGGAATTAAGAAAATGAGGAGGGAAAAAAAGACATTTGTAATATTTCTTTACTGAATAATAATAAAAAAGCATCCAGTGTTAAACGTTTTTGCAAATACTGGTTTGCACTTCTCAGCAGCGTCTTCTGCTTAAGAACCTGATTCATACTAAATAAGAGGATTTGATGGGCTGAATTTCTATCTGGTTGTTGGTTTTGATTTGATGGAAAATAGAAGAGACAAGTGAGGATCCTAAAGCTTTTACAAATATTTAAAGTAATCTCAAAGTATCTGTGTAAAAATGTGGATTAATTAAAAACAGGTTTCCTCACAAGAGCTGACTACATCCATACCAACCTCCCAGCTCTACTAGTACATATGTTTATGTACTTAAACAAAAACTTTCAGTCCTTCACTACCACAGCGGTTAGCGTCTATGTTTTCACACAAAAACATAAGCAGCACTAATTAAGGCTTGCATGAAATCTGTAGTTAACTAAAGAAAAAGGGAGGTATAGGACATTTAGCTGCTGAGACATTATGATTATT